CAGTCCATGGAAGTGGGACTTGAACTTAGAACCTCTGGGATCCAAGCGCAATGCCCTTACCACTAGGCCCCCACTCCCTTGTTTGCAGTGTTGAGGCCATTTTGCTTCTTCTCTTGTTATTGATTAATCATAAAAAAATATATAAAACGTAACATTTTGTATGTCAACTTCCATTTAGGTGACATCCATGGGCAGTACACTGATCTGCTGAGGCTGTTTGAGTATGGAGGCTTCCCTCCTGAAGCAAACTATCTCTTCCTGGGTGATTATGTGGACAGAGGGAAGCAGTCCTTGGAAACCATCTGCCTTTTGCTTGCCTACAAGATCAAATACCCAGAGAACTTTTTCCTGCTAAGAGGAAACCACGAGTGTGCTTCCATCAACCGCATCTATGGATTCTATGATGAGTGTGAGTGAGTTTATACAGGAATAGATTCTGAATCACACCAGACATTCAGTTCCTAAAATGTGTGCTCGTATATTTGCAGGCAAGCGCAGATTCAACATTAAGTTATGGAAGACCTTCACAGACTGCTTTAACTGCCTCCCCATTGCAGCCATCATTGATGAGAAGATATTCTGCTGCCATGGAGGTGAGGAGCTGAAGTTGGCTCTGTTTTGAAGAAAAAGAGAAAGTGGCAGATTTTGCAGACATTTTAGATGCATATAATTTCTTCTTTAATCATAAGTCGATGTTTACTTTCTATCTCAGGGCTTTCACCTGACTTGCAGTCAATGGAGCAGATCCGCAGGATCATGAGGCCAACAGATGTGCCAGACACAGGTACTTTTTCCTTATATACCATTCACAGTACCTCTGGACAGCAGCCACACATTTTCTTTTATAATTATTTCAGATGAGTGCAAGCACCCTCTGTTCCCCAGAATCTATGTCCTGTGTGTATTAGGCTAAATTCTAATTTTATAATTATTGTTTTCTGCTTTGTGTGCACGTGTCAGGCCTCCTGTGTGACCTGCTGTGGTCGGATCCTGATAAGGACGTGCAAGGCTGGGGAGAAAATGACCGTGGAGTCTCCTTCACCTTTGGGGCTGATGTGGTCAGCAAGTTCCTAAACCGCCATGACCTGGACCTCATCTGCAGAGCCCACCAGGTAATTACTGAATTTGAAGATGCTCAATGTACTACTAGCCACGCTTCTCCAGTTGACAGACCCCATTAACATACAGTGAGCCTGTAATGATAAGGCCGATGTTTTCCTTGATAGAATTGTTACAACCTTGTGGAAGTCCTCTCTACCTTACTGTTTCCATTTTGTTTTTTTTTCCAACTTTTGTTAATTTTAATAGGACATGAATACATGGTATTACATATCTGGAAACTGTGAGTCAAGGAATTTAAATTTTTGTTCTGCAAAAAAACCAACAATTTAAAAGTGGTGTTTATTTTAATGAATTCACCTGATTAACAGTTAGGTAGATCCACAGATTGAGAGTATGCCTGTACTAGCTTGACATATTTGACATGTTTTTCCAAAGCAACTCTAGCTCAGTCAGATATGGATGGAAAAGGGTCTTAGAACATCAGTTTGAAAGTCTTCCCACACATTCTCAACTGAATTTAGTTCTGGACTTTGACAGTATAAAGCGTTACCTTTATAGCCGTCTTTCCATCCAAATTTGTTGAGAATTTTAAGCAAACTTTTATAAAGTTGGAAACAATGTGAATTAGCCGTGTTTTAATCCAATTCAACGAATTAACAAGAAATAGTGACATAATATTTTGACCTTATGCTTGGCTGTAGTAAACAGGAAGTAGAGTTAGCAGGCTAGCACAGACCACAGACCAGTGATGGACTGAGGTTTTAATCAATTTGTTGCAGTCAGTAAATTGTAATTATTCTATCAGGTCAGTATTGTATTAGTGAAGGCTCATGCCATCCGGAGACATCAAGAGAGAAGTATGATTCTAACGCTGCATTCAGGATGCCAGCTTTAGGCAGAAACAGCTCATCAGTCATGTGATATAAATATTTGCTTTGTCAGAACTAATTTGGAAAATATGTTTCAATCTCCTTTTAGGTGCATTTATGCTTACTGAAAAAATATAGAACATCTCCAGCAAGTGTAAAAAAAAAAATGTATAAAGTTTGCTAAGTATGATTCAAAATGCGCAAAAAAGGGTTGCTGGAAACACATCTGTTTAGGGTTGTTGTCTCCCTGTAGCTTCACCCCAGCTTTAAGGCTTTGGCAGCCTTTAATCAGATTTCTACTTTTATTCCTCCACCGCCATGTTCAGTGGTTGGTGATATATATCTACAAGTTAGGGCTGAAACAATCGCATTCATACTGATTAATAGATTATTGAAATAATCATCGACTAATTTAATAATTGATTAATCATTACTGGGGTAAAGAGACTCTAAAACATGCCTTTAGTTGTCAGAGCAGGGCAGTAATTATACCAAGATTCTAAAAAAAACCTTCCCAGAAAGACCTTTTGTTTGCATAGCAGTGTATTATTTTTGAAACAGCCTTTGTCAGTTATGCAGATAAATCTCTACAACTACAAAACAGGTTAAGCAAAGACCATATAATACTACAGCCTAATGCATCAATAAAAAATGCTCTGTGTAACAACAAGAAACTACACCTGGGAAAGAAAAAAAAAAACTAGGGAATGAATAAATTAAAGCTCTGACTGCCAGATCAGCTTAATATTCTGTATCAGCAAACTGTGTGACTTTTTTTTGTAGGCGATGACTTTGTTCCTGCCTCTCTTCAAAACACATTTCTGTAGCGCATGCCCCATTGTCCTGAAAACATTCTACAGCTTGAGTTTTGAATCTCTAAAGCTCTTGTGGAATAAACATTGGCCTCTTGGCTACTTCTCTGATTTATGCTCCTTTCCTGCCTGTCAGATACTTGTATGTATTTAAAGGTCTTAAGTTGTGCAATACTGTTTTGTTCCAGCTGATGAGTGGAACATTGTTTCGATATGTTGGGATACTGTTTAATAATCTAACACAGTGTTAAACTTCTACTGTGTGTCCTGGTCTTAGTATTTGTTCAAAAATGTTCAGTAATAAAACTATAAGGCCTTCATAGAACGACTGGAGTTAAAGTTATAATTTAAACACATCTGATCTCCATTTACTAATTAATTGACTTCTGAGTTTCCGCCCATCTCTGTTTTGTATTTGTATCTGTTCTGAATTCTGCGGCTATGAGATGACAAAAATGTAAAGAATCTTTGTTTTAACCACAGTGGCTGTATTAATGCTCAGAAGGTTTCATGTTTATGTTTTTGTTTGCTCTGTCCTTATTGCATGGTCAGTTACTGAGAGTGGATGAAGATCTGTTTGTTGCTATCGATCGCTGTGGGCGTTAGAATAACACCAAGTGTCTTAAAACAGGTTGTGGAGGATGGATACGAGTTCTTTGCCAAACGCCAACTGGTCACACTTTTCTCAGCTCCAAACTACTGCGGGGAGTTTGATAATGCAGGCGGCATGATGAGTGTGGATGAGTCCCTCATGTGCTCCTTCCAGGTAGATAAAAAGAAAATGGAGTTCTGTCTTTTTTTTCTGGAGTACTGCATTGGTACAGAAATAATCTATTGTCTTCTCTGTTTTAAGATCCTAAAGCCCTCAGAGAAGAAGGCAAAGTACCAGTACGGTGGGGTCAATTCTGGTCGGCCTGTGACCCCACCGCGCACCACCCAAGCTCCCAAAAAGAGGTGAACACCCAGCTGTGGCTTTTCTCCCCACTCCTCGTCATTTTTATCCATTCCAGATAACCAAATAACGCCCCTTGAAGAAAGAAGATCAGGGCTTATCTGATTGTCCAAATCCTACTCCTCTCAGCCAGCCTCTCGTCAAAACCACTGACAGCTTTTTTCTTAATGTGGATGTGTATATAAACTTGCTGTGATTTATCTGTTAGGGTTTTTTGCCTTTATGTTAAGATTTTTTTTTTTTTGATAAAATTATTAAAAGTTAACCTAGTTGTGGTTTAATGCTTATGCTACTTGAGGTTATCTGGGAGTCTCTGCTGTTTAAGGAAAGGTTTTGTTTTCCGTCTGAGTGAGATGACAAGGTTAACATAAAAGACACATTTTTTTGGTCTTCGTAAAAATTAAATGAAGATTTGACATTCTTTTACTTTAACCTTTAAGAGGGAAAAAAGAAAGATTCATCTTGTGTGTTTTAATCGGGTCTGCATATAAGCTGCAGCTCCAAACCAACAGACGAAAAAAGAAAAAAAGAGTATGATTTCAACTGAACACAGCATGTGTAGTACTTTTAGTGGTTCTTGTGCACATGTAATTTTTTGTCAACTGTTAATAAAGAGCATCTTCATATTTGAATGAACAAATTAGGCTCCTTTAACTGTGGACTGCATCAGAATGTCTTCTTGGCATTGGTTTGTCTATTTCCGTTTTTCTTCCTGTACCTCATCTCTAATCCTACACAAAAAACATGCTGCTTTCTTTCAATAGCAGGTATTGATGCTGTTCTGTCATTATTTTTTTCATCCTGATTGTTTCCACCCTTCCTCTTATCCTCTCGATTTGATGACTGATCAGACAGTGTTATGAATGTCATGGGGGTTGGCAAGTATTGTTATAAGTTGATGATAAATCAAATTACAAAAATAAGAACCTCAGAGACCGCCATTAATATTTAACCGTTTTATTCTAAGGTTGTTTAATACTAGCTTTCTTCTCCTCACCCATTCAGCTGAGGTACAAGGTGAGAAAACCAGCAGAGCTGGGAGTGGGCGGGAAGTTTTAGCTTTGCTGTGCGATTGTGTTGCCACCTGGTGTGTAAATATGAGACTACGGTGCAAAAAAAAAAAGTCTTGTTTTACAGTATCCAAATAAACTGGGAAGGATTTTTTTTTTCATGACATTGCCAGTATGAAATGTGGTGTCGCTTATTGCTCTGCACTACCACAGTTAACACTAACCAGCTAAAAGGTTGGTTGGTGTCATTGTTAGTTTTTACTGATCATCAGATGCTTTTGAAATCTTAAGCAGTTTTATTTTTTTTTCATTTTGGTTTGTTGTATTTTTATGTTTTTCATTATTATTAATTACTTTTGATCTGCCTAACTTATTTCCTTGGTGTTACCAAAAGCTGTTTTGCAGTTTGTAAAAGTTTATTTCCAAGTGAATACATTCAATAAAGTTGTTGAAAACAAGTGTTTTGTCCTTTCATCTTTTTAAACATGTGCCTCAATATGTAATTGAAATAAACACTATCAATTGCACTATTATATAACATTTAGTACTTCCTAAATAAATACGCAGATCCAAAAACCTGTTTTTTTTTCTAAATATATAGCAAAACCTCTGTAGGACTACAGTATGTGTGTTTACTATCTGATGGCTCTAAGGGTTAACACTTATGTCCTTGGCTGCTTCAATCTGCAGTTGTATGTGTACCCCCTCGCTAAAGTTCATAGGTGAGAAAAAACAGATTTACTGTTTTCACCCTAAGTTACTCCAAATGAGTTCTGTATATGTATATATATATACTGTATATATATGCACTGTTGCTGCATGCTTATCCAGGAGAGAGAAATTCAGTAACTCAGTACAATAAGCTGTGTTTCCTTAGATGGAAGACATGTCACTATATGCTATATAGATAAAATTAACTGAAAATAAAGTCAAATAAATACATTTGGTCTATCCAAACTTATTCATTTAATATATATATATATAAGAACAATCTAATGCTTAGCTATTAAAAATACATGTTTTTGATGAAACTGTTAGGGGTGTCAATTGGCATCAGTGAAAGTGATATTTTGTCTAAATAATCATATCTAACATGTTTACTGCTGATTAGATTCAAAGGAAAATAAAATGTAACTGTAGAAGCAGGACAAATGTGGTTGTATCAGAGATACTATTTCAGTTTCCTCATGATGATGGGGAACTCTTTGAATCAGGCAGGTTTTATTTTAGCCAACCCTTAATGAATATGGAAGAGTTGAAACAACTAACCAAGTCATAACTTGATTATAATTAGAATAAGCTTAATTTGGTAGGTATGTGTACACATTTGACAAATATTAATTTGTGCATACTAATACAATAAGACAATAATACAGTGGCAAAGAAAACGATTATAGGCTGTGGAACAGAGAACATATATGCATACTATAAACAAAATGGGCATTTTTTTATCATTGAAAATATCTGTTTTTAAACCACTATGATCAATTGTTTACATTGTAAAAGCAAAGTAATTGCAACACATTGCATAAAAAGGTGTCACAGTTTAGTACAGTTTTCATGAAGAAGAATGATATTCAGTCTCAATTGTAGTTTAGTAGGTGGGTATTATGTATCTGAGGCAGGCCATTTGGTGCTTTTATTTACATAATGTTTAGATTCATATACATCTATTTATAGACGGGGTTTTTTTACGATTATTAATCTCTTTTTCAGATTATATCCTAAACATATCGTGATTCTTTTTAGTTGCAACGAATGCAATTAACTGTTTCAGCATAGATGAGTGCATTTTTTTTTGTGTGTGTGTGCAGAGTTTGGATGTTGTACAACCTCTGGCCTAATGGGGGCAGCATATCCCCCTCCAGTGAGATATCTCAGACCGCGTTACCACCGCTGTCTATAAACATGGATGGGTCACACTGAATGCCTAGAATGCTCGTGGAGCGTTTGTAGATCTGCGCAACTTCCGGGACAAGTGCTAAACCAGAAGGGCTAGCTCTGTGCACCGTCATCTACATCATATTTAGCGGAAATAACTGATAAACTTTCTAACACTCTGTTAAAGCAGGTTTGTTTTTAATCGAAGGAATATATTTGTTTTAAGTTGAGGGCTAGAGCGGGTTATGTTGTTGTTTTTCGTGCTTAATGCTAACATGTGTCTCATGCTATAGCTAGTTTCTGTTGTTGACAGGTCTGAAGTTCAGTGCACTTTACTATGACTTAATATGTAAATATGTATGAAACGGGGCTTTTTTTTTTATCAAGCTGCTGGTTTCATTGTTTTATTGTTGTTTATATAGCCTGCACTAATAAAGACATTTCAGGTAAACTATTGTTTTTCACTAAATAATCAAAATTGATGTATCCACTATTACTGAAAATAATTTTCCATGTGTGTTGCTCAGAGCAGAATTTATGGGGACAGGTTAAAGATCATCAACTTTATTTTCTTGCTTTTTTTGTATTATTTGACGCTCTGATAGAAATCCAAATATTCTAGCCAAAGTCAAAAAGGAGGGTTTTTTCAATGATTTCACTGGAAATGAACTAAAACAGTTTGTAACAAAATGGAAAAAATTTGACCCAAGAAAGTAGGAAGCTATAATGTTCAAAGTGAAGTTTCCCTTTCCATTGATCAGATCTCCAACATAAAATGATCCAGCAATCAATCATTTCATTAGGACATCGCAATTTAAGATATGTTTTGATGAAACCACAGAATAGTTCACTGTAATATCATTTGTCTTATTAAAAAAAAACAATAAATTACTTCTATGCTTTATTGATGTTTGTGATCTAAATCATAATTTTTTGTAATAGATAGTAAAACTTGTTTTTTGTTTTTAAATACTTGAACAATAATACAATTATTGCTTTCTTTTACTTTCTAATGTCATGTTTCTCTCTACTGTTCTCGGTAAAAGCTTTTATAGTTTGTTTTTTTTTAACTGAAAACTTTAAAACAATCTTATGAGATCTGTTTCTTGTTTCCTTGAACAACAGCTCTGTGTCTGATGTCCAATGGCACCATGTCCACCGTCAACCCCTTACTTCTGCTTCAACAATGAACTGTGGGAAGCTCCCGGCTGTGAGTGAAGAATGGCTAGGTTTAGGCTTAAATCCTGCATCAGCTTAATCGCATTGGCCTTGCTCCTACTCATTATAACGCTGGTTTTAAAGACTCTCACCCCTGAGGACTCCCCTTTTCACAGGCCTGTTGAAGTTCAAGTCGATCTTCACAGACAGACTGCTTCTCAGAACCAGAGGGAATACAACAAAAGACCTGAAGAGATCAAAATGAGTGACCCTGCTGAGTCAGACAGGGATGCAGAGCTGGAAAGCACACTGAGGAAGTACCCTCCTCCAAACTACTATCTCCATGCCTTCTACTATATTTGGTATGGAAACCCCAAGTTTGATGGCAAATACATCCACTGGGACCATCCACAGCTGCCACATTGGGATGCACAAGTGGCTCAGCAATATCCACAAGGAAGGCACGTACCCCCTGAAGACATTGGGGCCAACTATTACCCATCCTTGGGTCCTTACAGTTCCAGGGACCCCGCTGTTTTAGAGGCACATATGCAACAGCTGCGTACAGCAGCCATTGGTAAGAACAATATAAAGCTTGGCTATTAGATCAAGGATTATCAGTGATTAAAACTCCTTACTTTCCTATAAACTTTTTCAAACTGATGACATAAATAGGATGACGTAAGGTTCAATGTATCCACTTTTTTGTACTGGGAAATTGTATTATTCTCTGGTAATAATAATATTTGTCTGCTAAGGATAAAATTCAACGTTGTCTTTTGTTGTTGAGAATATTTCAGTGTGTTTTGGGCCATTGAGGTCTGCTTCCAAACAGAAAGATATTGTTGTGGTTGATTTTGGAAAGGTTTCTCTTTTAAATGGCTAACAGGATTTGGAACAAAAAAAGTAGAATCTTTTTTTGCCAACATAAAAGTTGCAAAAACATTTTTTCTGTTTTGCTTGAAGTGCAGAGTTAGAGGAAGGAAGAAAGGCAATGCGCCCAATTAGACAAACTAAGCCTGGTTTAACATGATGAAAATGTAGTTGGGTTCCTTTTTTTTTTTTATTTTTTTTTTATAATTCCTCAATCTTTTTGTAAGATAATTATTAAGGTTCAGTCCGGTGTTCAGTGAGATCAGCATACCCTGTCAGACCAGCATACCCGTAGTCAATACACATGCTTACGTCTGATTTGTGTATCCCTTTAGTTTTGTACAACAAATACAATTTAAACTACCTCAACGGATGTGTAACCCTTTAGTCATGTCCCTAAAAAACAATTTAAGGTCAGATCGCCATGCACTTGAAAAAACACCAAAAAGTATGTCATGAAATCATTTTTTTGTACATGACTAAAGGAATACATGCTCATTGAGGTAGTTTAAAGTGTACAAAACTAAAGGGATAAACAGGGATATACTAAAGGAATTAACAGGTTTTGACTATGGTTATGCTGGTCTGACAGGATATGCTCATCTGATGTAATCTATGCCAAGAAGGACACATAGAGTTAGTCCTTGGAGAGAAAACCTTTCGGCCACGTTTAGTAAATGTTGAACAGAGATTCTCTGACCACTGAGCAGAGAGGAAAGTAGGTGTAGAACTGCAAGTCAAAGACCCAGTCCAGTTCGCTGAGACATGAAACAATAAGATTGAAGGCCAAGAGTCAGGTGGATAATCTGATAATCTGAACCTGTTTTCGGCAACAGAAGCGCTCGGAACATTAAGGACGTTCTCCGAGTAATTCAGACTTTTTCCCACAAAATAAGTCAGACATTTAGAAATTAGGGCTGGGTAAAAAAATCGATTTAATCGATTTTTTATCGATTCCTTTACATTTTTGCAAAATCGATGTGTAGGGTATGAGATTGATTAGTTTTATAGTGATGCGTGCAACGTTCACATTCAAATGAGCAGGCATGTGCAAATGCCGACCCAAGTAACACACCACTCAGCAAGCTGTCCAAACTGAAGTCTGATGCTGGAACCATTTTGGATTTGAAACAGCTAAAGATAATGTGCTGGATATGTGACATTAAGGTGACTTCCCACTACATTGATAATGAGTGGCGCCTCGCATCTCCTGCTACAGACCACCAAGATTATTCAAGCCAGACAGCTGCAAATATAGCAAATAGGTTGACTGAAGACATTAACAAAAGGGGGCTAACCAGCAAACACCCTGTAGTTGTTACAGACAACGCTGCAAATATGGTTTGTGCATTGAAGATAATGCAGCTCACGCATGTCTGCTGCTGTGTCACGTCTGCTTGCTGGAGAGAGGCTTCACTTTTTCACTTGTCACAAACAAGTTTGCACTTTTTACACAGCTTTGTTCACATCTCAATTTTAAACTGTCTGATTAAGAAGTTTGCTCTTTGTGTTTAATATGATCATATTTTGAAATACAGTTGAACAACTTTCATTATTGTAAAAACAGATCGAATCAAAATTAATCGATTTAGAACCGTATGAATCAAAATTAAATCGATTCAGGACTTTGGTGAAAATACCCAGCCCTATTAGAAATCCAGATCATGTGGTTATTTGAAGAACAATGCTCACAGTCCTTTACATGGAAGTTTGACCAGCTGGTCAGGATTCTTCTGTGACTCCTGCCTTCTTATGGACACGCCCCACAGAGAATCCCAGAGTGACCCAGAACTCTCTGGAGGAACAGGATTTTCCCCTCTTGCCTGTAAAGATCTTTGGACCCCTTAAGCCGGGCACACACTGTGTTTTTTTTTGTCATGCAAGAATTTTTCAATCGGACTTAGTTTCAGCCTTAATCTGGGGTTGTGTAGTATACAGGGGGTAACGAGGGGCAATCAGCTTCTAAGGACCACCCCCCTATCAGGAATTGTAAGGTTGGGAGAAAATCAAACATGTTTGAAATTCAGTCAGTGGTCGTGAGGTCTCAACAGATCATCAGGCCGCACAGTGCGAGAATATGCATCTTGAGCCATGAACTTTCAAACCCTGTGGTTTTATCGTACAGTTTGAGCTGTAGCTGCATGCAACGATTGAAAATATTGCAAAGTGTATGTCTGGCTTCAGAAAGAGCTGAAGACGGCCCAGATTCTGACTTCAGATGATCAGAAGTCAGTAACGGTCTTGATTGATGGATAGATTGAAGAATCAGGGGAACAAAACTGACTCAGGGAAAGTAAAATACTGAAGAATAAGCCAACATAACATTAAAATCTGATTACCTAATGTTGAGTCTGATTTTGTGTGTGTTTGGTCATCAGGTGTCATCGCTGTTTCCTGGTATCCCCCTTCAACGAATGATGACAATGGTGAGCCACTGGATGAGATAATGCCCTCACTGTTGGAGGTAGCTCATAAGTACCACATCAAGGTGAGTTGAATAAAGCTTCATGCTTTCTGAGAAATCTTATCAGATGTTGAACAAATCAGATGGAAAATATATTTTTCCATTTCCAGGTTGTGTTTCATATTGAGCCCTACAAAGGAAGAGATGAAGTCAACATGTTTACCAATGTCAAATACATCATTGAGAAGTAAGTGTTGCTTTAGATTAGCTGATTTTATAGCTGTCTTCCATAATCAGTGAATAAATGTCTTTATTTACAATTGTTTGCAAATCTCTTCTCCTTAGATACGGAGACCATCCAGCTTTTTTCAAGTATCGAACAAATGCCGGCAAGCTCCTTCCACTTTTCTATGTGTATGACTCGTACTTGATTAACTCGGAGCAATGGGCCAAGCTGCTTAAACACACAGAAAGCGGGAGCATCAGGGACACACCGTATGACGGGATCTTCATCGCCCTGCTGGTCGAAGAAAAGCATAAAAGGGAGATCCTGACCGCAGGGTTTGATGGCATCTACACCTATTTCGCCACCAATGGTTTTACCTACGGCTCCACTCAGCGCAACTGGGTCTCCATCAAAGCTTTCTGCGAGGATAACGACCTCTTATTCATTCCTAGCGTGGGCCCAGGATACATCGACACCAGCATCAGGCCGTGGAACTTTAAAAACACTAGAAACCGCATCAACGGCAAATATTATGAAACCTCACTGAGCTCTGCGCTGGAGTCAAGGCCGGATTTTATCTCCGTTACGTCTTTTAACGAGTGGCACGAGGGGACTCAGATTGAGACGGCAGTTCCAAAAACGGGTCTAAGTGTATACCTGGACTATCTGCCCAACAAGCCAACCATCTACCTGGAAATAACTCGCAAATGGGCAGCAATATTTGGTGGAGAGAGACAAAGGTGGCAGGACTTATAATCAAAACCATTTATTTATGGTCTATACTAAACTACTGAAAAATTGCATCTCTTTTTTTAAGTCAATTATTATGAGAAAGTCCACATTACCTACAGTCACTGTCATTATCTTAATTTCAACCCCAGTCATGAATGTGTTTTTTGATTTGCACTTGAACTGTTATTTTCTGTTTACAAGCTGTGAGTCATACATGGTCAGCTGAGATTATTAATCTAATTACCAATCCCAGCTGGTACTGTCTTTTTTTATTCCTGGCTTTTCTGATTTCAGGAATGAATTATGCTCAGAGGAATTACTTGATATTTAAAAAAACGTCCCACTTAATAACTATGAGCCTTAATGACTGCAAATAGTGATGGAACAGAATGGCTCCTATGATTTAAAGCAGATAGAATGTTAAATACCATTCTTTCACTTGATTTATAAGCTCTGTTATAAGACCGTTAGAAATGTTGGTATAGAGCTTAAGTTTTTGCACAAATCACTAAATAAACTGATCAGATACCGACGTGTTGATTGTTTTAAGCATACTTCACATTTTTGCCAGTGTTACTGTTATCCTCTTAGCAATCAAAGCTAAGTTAATGTAACGGTACTGTTTTATTAAAGGTATTGTGGAGGATTTTCAGAATTTTTTTAAAAGACCCGCCCTCTCCATTTAAAAAAAAAAAAAAAAAGCACATGCACAACCCTGTACCCGCTCCTGAGAGGGAACGCCTATAAAACGCGTGCGAGCGTCCACAAGGAGAAATGGCCTCGTGCTCTGTTTAAAAGTTGCTGTTCTTATAGCTCATAAAACTTTACTGTGCCCAAACATCCATCCTAAATCCCTCAATCATTATATATAAAGCAGGGACTATATAGTGGACTTTATAGCGAACTCAATTAAGTGACTGTTTGGACAGATCATCATTGCTTTTATCCCCTGGTTTTTCAGGCAACTCCACCTCCATTGCTCAGTGTCTATTTCATCTTCGTTATTAGTCACCGATGTCGGTAAGCAACAGCCTATGGTGACAGCAAACCCCATAATGCTTTGTGAGGAGAGCTCTCTGCGCAAAGCATTATGGGATATATCTACCTCTTTTGAGGCATGAAAGCATGCTTGCACAGAAAAATATAGCTAACAGGACGAGTACGTAGGACAACTTATCTAGATGATCCAGCCGGAAATAAAAGATACCTCTTTACCTTTAATGGGTGTTTTCTCTCCAACATCTACAGGCTGCTCTGGTGAAGGAAACACTTTCCTGATTTATGTTCAGTCCATAGAAATAGTAGATCGATATGATGCATTTAGATAATTATAAGTGATAAAACCTGAGCAAATTAAGGAAAAGGGTGATTAGACTTTGAAAAGCACTTATTTGCCAAACTGGCTAATGTGAATATTTCAGAGACGGCCAGTCTATTGGGATTTTTATTAACCATTATGTTTTGGGTTTTAGAAGAGATTTTGAAAAGAACAAATAAGCATGGAGTGACAGCTGGGTGGACAAAACGGCAGCTGGCCAAATAAGCAGTTGTTACAGTTTGTCGAACAGTCTCTGAATGCTCTGTATGTCTTAAAACAAAAGGGCCAAAGCAGCAGAAGATAACAGCATGTGCCATCAGAGGATTCTGAAGCTACACCAAAATCATCAGCAACAGATTCCCTGGTCTGATTGGTCTTGACATTATTGAGGACACTTAATCAAATGGCCAGAATACATATATCCAGATTTCAGGCTATTTTAGGAATAGATAGGATTTATTTTCATTGTTCAACTTGAGCCTCTCAGTGGCAACTCAACCTAATTTAAACCCTACATTCTACCTCAAGGTTATGATAGAGGGGCCAACTATGTCCACACCTTTATCACCACTGTCTACCCATCTTCTGATGGCCGTTTCCAGTAGGATAATGCACAAAGTCACCTTCTTGGACATGAAAATAATCGCCTTGTACTCCAGTGACATCCAATTGCTAGATCTTAGTCTAATCGTCAACTTTGGAATGTCTTGGAATGTAAAAATATTTTCATTTTTGTGCTGCTTGCAACCCCACTCAGCAATAATAGGAAGGCCTCTGGTCAGTATGAACCAAGTTTCCATCCCGTAATTGAATGCCATGAAAAATCAAGGGAGTTCTAAAGACAAAACCATGTACTGTTACCCAACGCCTTTCAATAACAGTGCATTGGAAGTATAACTAGGAAAGCACTGTACAAGTCTGGTCCATTTAAAGTGTCTGACATCTGTTGAGGGAAATCTGTGAAATGTTTGAGTTAAGGTTGATAGCAAAGAAGCTTTCCACTTTTAGAAACTTGATTGATTGACTTTATTGATTTCACAGTGGAGAAATGTACTCGTTACGTCAGCTCAAATAGTCAAAGAAGAAGAATGTGCCAAAGGAAGAAAAAGGTGCATGGGTTATATACAGTATATACAGTGCGTCAAAATACAATGGCTATTTTTTTTTTTTTGTAGGATCATTATACAGGGTTATTGCACACGGTTTTTACATAGGTCCTTACATAGATGAATATTTACATATATATTTATTGCACTGGGTGTCAAATGTAGAGAAAGAGGTTATTGCAGATGGTATCAAACAGTAAACTGCACATTATACATTGCACAAGTTATTGCCATTGTAGTGTCGCATTGTAGAGTCTGACTGCAGCAGGGATGAATGACCTGGGTAGCGCTCCTTTTTACAAACATGGTGTAAAAGTCTTTCACTAAAGGAGCTGCTAAGCTTCTCTACAGACTGGTGTAGAGGGTGGAAGGTTACTTACTCATCCTAATAAAAATTATTAAAACAGTGCCTTTCTGGGTAAACAGGTTCAACTTAGAAAATAAAAGCAGCTAAGATAAAAATGGAAATATCTGAGTAGAACATTAGAGTAAAATAAAAGTTCTATACACTTTGATTAGAGTGAAAGTGCTTGTTTGAAAAGAGCAGTTTTTAGCCTGGATATGAAAAGAGAGTGTCAGTGTTTCTGATTTAGGAGAGAAGGCATTCGGATGGCGGGGAACAGAACGGCTACAGATCCTGGATCTCATAGTGGTCAGAATAGCAGGAGGCACAAAAAGGCTGGCCCAAGGGACAGAGAGGGAGTGTTAACATGGAGGAGGTGGAAGACCTAAAACGTATAGAACCATATTTTCAATTCCATTCTGTATCTAATTGGAAACCGTCTGGGTTGTTGAAATGCAGAAAAAATGACCTTGGTGTTCTAGAGATGATGAGGGCAGCGGAACTCCGGACCAGTTGGAGTATATAAGAGATTCCAAAGAGAAGAGAGCTGCAATAATACAAGCTTGCTGTAACAAGACTCTGGACCAGTTTTGCAGTGGTTGACGGGGTGAAGGACAGGCGGATATGGCTGCTATATCTCAGGTGGAAGTAGACGGATTGAATAATTTTCTTAATGTGAGTTTGAGAAGGTTAAGTACCTTCAAAGGCTTAAATCTTACAAATACCTGAATTACTGTGCACATATGCAAAAACTCAGCAAGCAAGCTAGGTTTAGTGCTGATCTACTGTACAATGTTCCTGTTGCTTATTGAGAACAGGATTAAGCTTTTTTGAACAACACATCTTGTGAATAAAAGGTCAATAAAAGATATTTACTTTGAAAATATTTTTTTTTTTACCTTTTGAAACCTGAAATTAAACTTCCTGGTAAAAGGAGGCTTTCTACTTACTATGTGTAAATAACATGTTGGCGAAACATACATTTCTAAATGGACCAGCTGCATATCCTGATCAGGATTAGGCAGTTGTTGCAAGCCTGAAAAAATAGGGCAACATTATATAGTACAGGATATTGACCCATATGATTCAATATCCTTTTAAGGCTGTGGTGATTCTAACTGATCATATCAGTCTCCTAAGCTCAATGGGAAAAAAAGAAAAGACTAATAAAAAATCCACTAAATACAGAGGCTCCTCTATTGGCAATGGGCATCATGTACATGTTGTCTTACATTCTAAAAATTTTTTTTCAAAGATGGTTTTTAAAGCTGTCTCATAATCCTTGAAATATAGTGTTATAAGCTCATGTTACTTGTCAGTTTTATTATTCTGTTTTACGCTTTGTTACATTTCTTCACTTTTTCAACTCATAGGAATGTATGGTACAGAAAGAACGTCTTTCATGAAACACACAGAAGAGGTCTCTGTGGGCCATTGTTTGGAAGCTCTTTTCAGTTACACATTCTTAATGGACTGCGCAATCTTTTCACCCAGAATGGATTCATTTGATTTGCCTTCAGTGCATTTCCTTTTATTTTCATTTAACAGTTCATTCTCTCTTTCTTTCTCTCACCCTCTCTCTCTCTCTCTCTAAATATATATATTTATATATATATATATATATATATATATATATATATATATATATATATATACGTATATACGTATATGTATATGTCTGAGGGACATTAGCTTCTCCTTGTTTAGCGTCTTACATTTTCTAATAATTGCTCCAACAGTGGAACTTTTTTCACCAAGCTGCTTGGCTATTTTCCCATAGAACTTTCCAGCCTCGTGGAGGTGTACAATTTTAACTCTAGTGTTTTTTTGGACAGCTCTTTGGTCTTGGCCATGTAAGTAGTTGGATTCTTATTGATTGTATGGCGTGGACAGGTGTCTTTATGCTGCTAACGACCTCACATGTGCATTAGGATAATAAATGCAGTGGAGGCGGACATTTTGAAGGCAGACTAACAGGTCTTTAAAGGTCAGAAGGTGTTCAAATACTTATTTGCAGCTGTATCATACAAATAAAGAGTTTAAAATGATATCGTGTGATTTCTGGAATTTATTTTAAGATCATGTCACTAACAGTGGACATGCACCTATACGATGACAATTTCAGACCCCTCCAATATTTCCAAGTGGGAGAACTTTCAAAATAGCAGGGTGTTCAAATCCTTATTACAACTATCAACACATTTTGGAAAAACTCCAGGGAAGAGATTACATGTAGCTCTTGGATGGCATGAAGAAGCTTTGATAAAGTTGTAAACAGCTGTGTTTTCTACCTTCTCGTTTAGTGGGGTGTTGTCAGCTTGCTCCTTTTGTTAAACACGCCCTATGATAGGGCCCCTATCCAGAACAGGGAGAAAGCCGCACAGAATATACATTTTGCAGATGCTGTTACATTCGGCTCATCTGCATGGAATGTCTGTGCGTCAAGCATAATGAGACCTTTCCAAATACAAAAAATCTGTTCAGTGCTTAGATGACATTCTTGGATCTCCAATCATTCAGGCCATGAATAAATGTGAGTTTTTTCATGAGGGCACAGAAAAAAAAGGAATAAAAAAACAGGGCAAAAGTTAGACAATTAATACATTGATTAAACCAAAGGGCCATTTGCAGCTCTGGAAAGCTCAGATCTAACAAATGAGAACTATGATCCTATTTTAATACGAGCGTAGCTAAATGTGGATCAATTTTAAATCATTGAAAAATAAAGCTGTAAATATAAAGAATTTGAGTTGGTCCAAAGGAACCAGTGGTTGTGCTTTCTGTTTCTACACATACCCTAATTTATTTACCATATATTCATTTTGGC